CCTTATAACTATTACAAAAACACAAAATAAGTATAAATAAGTGTTTATTTTTGTGTATAAGCTGTTTAGATTTTCAAAAAGCCTGTGTTTTTAGGGTTTTTAACAAAGTTTGTGTACTCAGACCAGTAATATTTGGGGTCATAAGTGTTTGCCATGGATATTTTGTGGGTCAGAAGATAAAAAGTTTGGGAACRCCTGATTTAGACCACGTGTCTTTATCCAGCCCCAAAGGTAACACTTTAAATTTAAAATAGTTTTGTGGATTTAAATTTTTTTCACTGTATTTAGCACATTTTTCTTATGACAGATGGCCAATTTTCAGGCCAAGATAATTAAAAGTGAATGTTTTTGTAATATTTGATTTTTGTGTGGAAAGAGCTATAGATAATTTATACTTTGATATTGTAGGGGTCACCTCTAGCGAAATAATCAAGGAAACTGTCTAGGACCTCAGACCTCTGATGGGCCCTTTTAGGAGACAGAACTCTGTTCTGGTTGAACCTGGATTTGGGTCACACAGATCACCTTAACCTGTACAAGAGACATTCTCTTTTTCTGAATCAGATAAACAGAATAATCTTTTTATTTGATTTATTTTTCTCTTAACTGAAAGTTGTTTTGCATTTTGATAATCATGAAACAATGTTTATCAAGTTACAGGAGAAAAGAGAACACATATTTTCGTTTTCATTATTATTTCAGCTATATTATGGATTTTTCTGTGGAAATATCTTATTTAACTAAACTAATTAATTCTTTCAGCTATATTTTTAAAGAGTTCTCATCAGATTTTAACTAAACTAATATGTTTTGTTTCTGAACTACACAGAAGCAATAATTATGTTAGTTAAGTCTGGCCTTGGCAACTTCTTGTAACATTTTCCTTATCTTCCTGTACTAACCTCACCCTGAGGGCGGAACTAAAAAAAGCCTTGTTCTTTAGTAACTGCTTCCGCACGGAGAGTAGGGAGAGACGGACCTCCCTTCCATCAACACTGGCTGTGTCCAAAACGACAGGCCGAGTCCTTGGTAGACCGGGAAGACCGGAAAAAAAAAGAGGCTGTGAATTTGGACGGTCTAGCCTCCCCTCCACCCCGGCGTACGTCATGTCACCTAGCAACCATGATGATGCTAAACAGAAACAAAAAAAGATCAAAATTAGAAAAATATCAATATATTAGCA